ACAATCTTCCTGCCTCAGCCTCCTGAACAGCTGAGATTACAAATATATATCACCAAACCTGCCTGTTTGTTGGAGTTGCTGGATAAAACTTGGACCCCCACCCTCACCCCCAAAAAAATAAACCCAGAGAGATTCTGTTATTCAAGATTGTATACAGGGACTGGAAAAGTGACAAGAGGACCCTGGCTTGACTCCCAGCTCCCACATGGTTGCTTGCAACTCCAGTCTGATGCCGTCTCCTGACCCCTTGGTAGTGACTGCATGCTCATGGTACACAGATAGACAAGCAGGCATTCACACATACACATAAATAGAGGGACATGGTGGGTATGTACTTAATCCTAGTGCTCAGGAGGCAGAGGCAGATGGGACCTCTGTGAGTTTCAAGGCCAGCCTGGATGCTGGGCTTGGCGAAGCATGGGAGGAAGATGCAGGCAGATCTTTGTGAGAGTTAGAGGCCAGCCTGGTAAACAAAGTGAGTTCCCAGACAGCCAGGGCTGTCACACAGAGAAATCCTGTCTTGAAAACCATACCAGCAAACAACAATAACCAAAAACAAGCAAACAAACAAACAAAAAGCCTGTTCTACATAGCAAACTCAAGGTTAATCAAACTAAGTAAATAAAAAGCCAGGTATGTTGTTGGGTGCCTTTAATCCCAGCACTGGGGAAGATAAGGTAGAGAAAAGTGGTTCTCTGTGAGCTCGAGGCCAGCCCGGTCTACAAAGCGAGGTCAAGTTCAGCCAGGGATACACAGAGAAACCCTGTCTTTGAAGGAAATAATAATAATAATTTTTTAAAAGATTGGCATGAGAGCCGGGTGGTGGTGGCGCACACCATTAATCCTAACACTCACTCGGGAGGCAAAGCCCAGTGGATCTCTGAGTTCAGAGAGTTCCTGGTCTACATAGTGAATTCCAGGATATCCAGTCCTGTATAGAGAGACCCTGTCTCAAATCCAGAAGAACAAAACAAAAAGATTCACATGCTAAGCAGGACTCTAGACCTGCTGCCCAGACAGCCGGAGGCCAGTGAAGCTTCAGGTGAGGGCTGGTGTGCGTGTGCTGATGCCAAAGCAGTGCCTGCTGTGCTGGGCTGAAGACTGGAGTTGGAAGCAGGAAAATGCTCACTGGGATGTTGCCAGTAGTGGTTTGGACCAAAGATAAAACCTTGAAGGACTCTTCTGAGGAAAAATCTACCAAAAATCTGTGTGTGTGTGTGTGTGTGTGTGTGTGTGTATGTGTGTGTGTGTGTATGTGTGTGTGTGTGTATGTGTGTGTGTCTTCATGGCTGGCTATTACAACAGGATAAGAGCTGAAGAAGAAGGGACCACCTAGGACTAAGAAGCCATTATGAAGAGGCTTCTTGTGCCTGTATGGGGTGGGCCAGGAAAAGGAGGGAAAAACTAAAATAAAAAACTGAAATAAGGTTTTTTTTTTTTTTTTAGAGCCATTAGAGATTATTGTCTCTGGGTAACTCAGCGTCTAATCCAAATCAGCATCCTGCTCCACACCTCTGTATCCACCCACATTCTCCCCCATCTCTTTTTCTTTTTTCTTTTTTAAATGTTTATTTATTATGTATACAATATTCTGTCTGCGTGTATGCCTGCAGGCCAGAAGAGGGCACCAGACTTCATTACAGATGGTTGTGAGCCACCATGTGGTTGCTGGGAATTGAACTCAGGACCTTTGGAAGAGCAAGCAATGCTCTTAACCACTGAGCCATCTCTCCAGCCCCTATCTCTTTTTCTTAATTGATATTTATTGAGCTCTACATTTTTCTCTGCTTCCCTCCCTGCCTCTCCCCTCCCCCCTTCAATCCTCCCCCAAAGTCCCCATGCTCCCAATTTACTCAGGAGATCTGTCTTTTTCTATTTTCTACTTCCCACATAGAGATAGGGTCTTCATGGAGTTAAGAAAGACAAGGCCTCAATAGCTAAGTATGGTGGCATGTGTGACAAAAACTTAATAGTCCCGTTTTACAGCTGGATGCTGGGCTGAGGGACAGGCATGATTTTAGCCCAGTGAACACTGCAGGACAGCACTAGGCACAATGACATCATCTTTTTTCTCTGAGTGGGCCAGGTCTGGGTGACAGGGATTTCCAGACTTCTCCCAACCCTAACTAGACATTTGTTTGTTTGCTTGTTTGTTTTGAGATCCTTCTCACTATGTAGCCCAGGTTGGCCCAGAACTCATGATATTCCTGTCTCAACTTCTGAATGTCTATGACAAGGGACAACTGATTCAAGTCACCTTGAGTGATCTGTCCCCGTGTGGAAGAGGCAACTAGGCCTGGTGGTACATGCCTGTAATCCTAGCACTTAGGGAGTTGGAGGCAGGAGAATCAGGAGTTCCAGGTCACCCTGCTTGCTTGGTTACATAGTCAGAGGCCAGTCTATGCTGCATGAAACCCTGTCTCAAAAACAAACAGGGCTGGAGAGATGGCTCAGTGGTCAAGAGCACTGGCTGCTCTTCCAGAGGACCCAGGTTTAGTTCCTAGGACCCATGTGGCAGCTCACAACTGTCTGTAACTTCAAGATCTAATATCCTCACTTAGAAATAAATGCAGGCGGGGGCTGGAGAGATGGCTCAGCGGTTAAGAGGTTTGCCTGCTCTTCCAAAGGTCCTGAGTTCAATTCCCAGCAACCACATGGTGGCTCACAACCATCTCTAATGAGGTCTGGTGCCCTCTTCTGGCTTTCAGGCATACACACACAGACAGATTATTGTATACATAATAAATAAATAAATAAATAAATAAATATTAAAAAAAAAGAAATAAATGCAGGCAAAACACCAATGCACATAAAATTAATAAAAATTAAAAAACAAACATTGCACAAGATTTTATCAATGTTTATAATCACACAACAAAAGAAATAAGTAAATCCATTTACCAATGACAAACATGAGGGCACTGGATAGGGTTCAGCCAAATAAAGGTTACCTTGAATTTCTGATCCTCCAGCCTCTGCCTGTGTGTTTTGATATTCATGTATGAAGTTACGTGCTGCTGTGCCTATTTTTATAAAGCAAGGTTGTTGTTTTTTTATAAACTTAAGTTTAATTGATTTTATGTGTTTTTTAATATTATAAGGTGTGGTAGCTTCTTTTCTTAAAAAATTTATTGCTGGTCAGTGGGGGCACATACCTTTATTCCCAGCCCTTGGGAGACAGAGGTAGGCCGATCTCTATGAATTGGAGGCCAACCTGGTTTACAGAGCTAGCTCTAGGACTGTAAAAGCTACATAAATAAACAAAAAAAGTATAAAAAAATGAATTTATTTGTATATGAATAGGTAGCTGGGAAGTAGTGGTGCACAGCATTCAGGAGGCAGAGGCAGACAAACTCTGTGATTTTGAGGCTACCCTGGTCTACAGAGAGAATTCCAGGATGCCCAGGGCTACAAAGTGAAACCCTGTCTCAAAAAAACCCGTATATATGTATGGGTGTTTTGGCTGCATGTATGTCTGTGTACCACTACCCTTTCGGCGCCTTCAGAAGCCAGAAAGGGCATTGAATGCCCTGGGACTGGACTTAGACAGTTGTGATCTGCCATGTGGGAGCTAGGATTGGACCTGGTCTACTGGAAGTGCAGCCAGTGCTCTCAGCCTGGCCATTCTCTCCAGTCCCGTGTGAATGTGTTGCCAATGTGTGTCTGTGTGCCGCATACATACCTGGTGTCCTTGGAGGATAGACAATGTTACCAGATTCCCTGGAACTGGAGTTGTGCATGGTTGTGACCCACCACGTGGATGCTGAGAATTGCATTATTACTCCACAGTGGTGGCAAGTGCTCTGAGCTCCTGAAGCCTCTCTCTAGCCCCTGCCCTGTCCTGTTTTTATTGTTGTTTGTTTTGTTTTGATAGTGTCTCTCTGTGTAGCTTAGATCAGACTAGCCTTGAACTCATAGAGATCCACCTACCTTTGCCTCCTCAGTGCTGAGATTAAAGGCGTGGGCTTCTATGCCTTGAAGAAGGCAATCTTTTTTTGTTTTGTTTTTGTTTGCTTTTGAGACAGGGTTTCTCTGTGTAGCCCTAGCTAGCTGTCCTGGAACTCACTCTGTAGACCAGGCTGACCTCAAACTCACAGATCAGAGATTTGCTTGTCTCTGGAAGAAGGCATTCTTTTCTTTTCTTTTTTTTTTTTTTTTTGAGACTAGGCTGGCCTCGAACTCACAGAGCTCCACTGAGTCCTGGGATTAAAGGTGTGTACCACCACTTTCCGCCAATAAATTAACTTTTTAAAGAAGGCAGTTCTTTAGTACCATCCTCATAGACGAGATGTGTGTCTATGGATGTGTGTCTAAGGATGGCCAGGTTCCAGGCAGTGTAGTAAGCGGAGGTCCATTATCCAGCACCCTGGTGGCTCTCCATGTTGTCTCCCATGTGTCTCACAAATCTGCAGCTCCTTCATGGTCAACCCCCAAAGTCAACTGTAGTCACTGAGCTTGGGGTGGGAACCGTGAGAAGCAACACTTGATAAAGCCAGACCCATGCTAAGGGCTGGGGAAGCACTAAGCCAAGCTTGCACTGGAATTCCCCACATTACCTCACCAGCAAAGCAGCGAACAGTTGCTGGGAAGCTGTCTTCCAGGCCAGGAATGCTGCCAGAAATGACCATGTTGAAGCCAAGAAAGGAAGCCAGAAGCTTGTTATCAGCTGCCAGTGAGGCAGGCTCTGTGTGAGCAAGCCTGTCCCTTATGCAGCCTCAACCTCCCCGTGCAGTGGAATTAAGAAAAGGTTTTAAATGTTGTGATTCTTGTTTTTCCACTAATCTCCTGTAGCCCAGGCTGACCTTGAACTCTCTGAAGCTGAGGAGTCTCTGAACTGATCCTGCTCCGAGTTTGGGAATTGTGGGCGTTTGTGGACTGCCACATCACACCGATGGATAAGGAAACTTGGGCTAAATGACTTTAACTTGCGTACCTGAGCTTCGATTTCTCCCGAGAAAGGGGTTGTGCTGTGAACTAAAAACCCACAAGAAGGCCGGGCCTAGTGGAACACTTCTGTAATCTCAATCACTCAAGAGGCTGAGGTTCAAGGACTGAGCAAGATCCATTCTGAAAACATAAGAGAAAAAAGTGCTGAGGACGTCTGTAGCTGGCCAAGCCCTGTGTTCAATCTTGACCAAAAAAAAAAAAAAAAAAAAAAGGCCAAGAATTAGAAGGCAAGAACAACAGGAACAGGTCAGGAGGCAGCCATCTTGTCATTTGCCCTCCAGTCTCCCTGGGGAGACTGAGGCTGGCACCACTGTAACCCCTTTCTCTCCCAGAGTCAACACTGGCATGGGCCTGAGTCCTGCTTTCTGCTGGGGGATCTGGGGTTTGGGGCTCTGTGGAGGAGCCGGACGCCTGCCCAGTCCTCTTCCAGCTTGATGTCCCCCAGTTGCAGGGCCTGTTCGATGGCACGGGCGACAGTGTCAAATGCCAGGTCCACATTGCAGTTACTTTTGGCCGAGGTCTCCATGAAGGCCATGCCCAGCGAGGCAGCCAGTTCCTCTGCCTCCTGGGTGGAGACACTTCGGGTGCTCAGGTCGCACTTGTGGCCAATCAGTAAGAAGATCACCTTGTCAGGGCACTGAGAGGCTAAGACCTCCTGGTGCCAGGCTTGGATGTGTTCAAAGGACTCTCTGTTGGTCACATCAAAAACTAACAGAACGCCCACCATGTTCCGGTAGAAGGATCGGGTGATGGACCTGGGGGTGGAGGTAAATTAGGGTAAATATGCCTTTAAGACGACCTCAGAGGCCCCCAAGATCCTCAGGCTTCCCGCTCCATTCCAACACATTTCAATCAACATCTCTCCCTGATCTCCTGCCTTCACTCCTCCCAGTTGCAGAGACTGCAGAAAGGGTACAGTCCCCTCTTCCTACCTGTTCTGTTTCTGATTCCTTGGCTGGCAACTCCCACCCATGGCTCCACACCAGTCTTCCTCTCCATTCCCTTGAACTGTCTTTGCAACCAGGTCATTCATCAATGTTTCAGAGCAAATTCCTTAAGCTGACATTTCCTTTAGGGTTGGGTAAGGGCTTTGGGAAGGCAGGGGTAGGGGGTGGGTGGGTGTGTCTCAGTGACAGCACTTGCTGGGGTTGAGGGGCTTGGCACCTCCCGCGGAGTTTGTAGGAGGCATGACTGAGTATGGAGAGTGGGGAGGGGAGGGTCCACAGATCCCTGCTAGAGTCCCTGCGGTTGGCACCTGCAGGCGTGGGTGTCCCCAGGTGAGTGGTATTGATTCCCCTTCCCGCCGCACCTGAAGCGCTCGTGACCCGCGGTGTCCCAGAGCTGCAGCTTGACCCGCAGCCCGGCGGGCAGCTGCAGCGCGCGACTGTAGAACTCCACGCCCACAGTGGGCTCAGGCTCCGGCTCCACCGCACCCCGAGCGCCCGCCACGTAGCGCCGCAGCAGTGACGTCTTGCCCACCGCGGCGTCCCCGAGCAGAGCGATCCGGAACTGGTAGCTGCAGCCCGCTACCTCCATGGGATCTGGACTCCAGGCAGACCTCGGACAGTTTTGTGCTGCCCCGCCTCTCATGTGGGGCCCTCCTCCTCCATCTCCTCCTCTTCCTCCTCCGGGTTCCTGGTCCTGGCACAACCTCGAGGAAGGATCACGATCCTTAAGACCAATCCTTAGTATAGTTGGTCGGTCAGGTCACTACCTCTGTAAAATGGGGACAGTGACAACCTCTGCTTCACAGGATAAAGAAATTAAAATAGCTGGGCACAGCGGCATACACCTTTTCTTTTCTTTTCTTTTCTTTTCTTTTCTTTTCTTTTCTTTTCTTCTTTTTGGTTTTTGAGACAGGGTTGCTCTGTGTGTAGCTATGGCTGTCCTGAAACTCGCTTTGTAGACCAGGCTGACTTTGAAATCACAGAGACTCGTTTGCCTCTGCCTTCTGAGCGCTGGGATTAAAGGCTACCACCGCCCGGCCGGGCACCTCTGCAGGAGGACGTTGTTCGCATCACTCTAGGCAGTGACTGGCTCCCAGACACACCTTCCTTGTTCGGGTTCCCCTTTCCTGTAGTGTCAGGGTTTCTCTGTGTAATAGCCTTGGCTCTCCTGGAACTTGCTTTGCTGACAAAGTTTTGTTTATTCTTTCATTTTCTCACCACAAAGATCTGGGATCTGGACCAACCCAGGATTCTTCCCATTCCTTTCCCTTTTTTATGTGTACTTGTACCTATTTGTGTGTGTGTGTGTGTGTAGTTTCTACCTTTTAGGTACCCAGGGATTGAATTCAGGTTGTCAGGCTTGCCAGCAAGTGCCGTTACCCAATAAGTCATCTTGATGGCCCTTGTCTCACTGACTCTAAACGAAGAAACAAAAAACCATTTATATCACACCTCTAAATAATAATAGCCAGTGTAGTTGGCAAGTCTAGAGGGGGATGAAACAGTGGGAAATGAGCCCTCCTAAGGGCAGGCTGTGCAGCACCCAGGTCAGCCCTTGTGGGCTGTGCAGCACCCCGGTTGGCCCTCGTGGGCTGTGCAGTGTCAGCAGCAGAGTCTTTGAACTTCCTCTGTCGGAGGTTCCCACTAGGGCTGACTAGGGCTGTGGTCGGTCATGTGTTTGCCTCTGATTGCACCTGGCACCAGAATCCGCATGTCAGCTGACCCACGCCATAGATAAGGCTGTGTAACCCAAGGAACAAGCCATTTCCTTTCCCTGTGTTCTGCTTCCTCATCTGCTATGGCAAATGCACATGAGGCAGCTCACACAGAACTGTATACCCCAGCAGCTATGGCTCTGAACATGTCTCTCGGGGAGATTCCGGTGTGGTTCAAAGGTCATTGAGCAGTTATGCAATAATCATCACTGGGTGATGATGCTGATTTCTAGTATATTTTAATGTCCTGACCTCCATATGTGCCCTGACCATGTGCACCCACATACACACACCCCAAGCACAGGTTAGTGGACAATTTTGCGGTCATTTCTCTCTTTATGTGATTTCTGGCCATTGAACTCAGGTCTCAGAAGTGCACTGCTGAGCTCCTACCTTTTGGCACATATATTTTCATTATAGATGGTTGTGAGCCACCATGTGGGTGCTGGGAATTGAACTCAGGACCTCTGGGAGAGCAGTCAGCGCTCTTAACCTTTGAGCCATCTCTCCAGCCCCCATTCTATCTTTTATATTTCAGCACACATACAGCACGGAGAAGACCGAGGCAAAGTTCTTGCTCTTGGGGAGCTCGCATTCTAAGGAGGAAGGCAGAAAAACACATACATGGGCTGGAGTAAGAGCTCAGCTGGTAAAGTGCTTGCCATCCAAACCTAAGGACCTACACTCCATCCCCAGGACTTGTAAACCCAGTCCTGGGAGGAGGATAGGAAGATATCTGGGGCACTCTCCAACTGTACCTGGCACGTTGTGAGTCAATGAGAGACCCTGTCTTAAAAAAAACAAGGTAGTGTGTCACAGTGCAGGCTCTTATTGTTGGGCTCTAGTGTCCAAACCGAGAAGGAGTCACCCCCAGAGACTACCTCATATACCACAGCCAATGCAAAAGCATGAGGATTTTATTAATTCTGTCATGACAGGGTCCCCCAGCATTCGGGAAGCTGAGAGACCCCGACTAGCTGGTACAGTCTACTTTTAAAGGAGAAGGCCCCATAGAAACAAGAGGGGTTGTTCCTTGACCTTTTATGATTGTCTTATTCGAAAAGGGCTAATACCAATAATTGACTGGAAAACTATTGCCAGATCAGATGAGGTAAGAGGTCATTTTGACCCCGTTTCCCAGGGGACTGAGTCAAAACATATGTGTATGGGTAATTGTTCAGGAACTGAGTACGTGCATGTGTAGCTGTTAGGTCCTTGGTTCCCAGGTGAGGAGGGGAAGCACTGAGGCACAGATGCTGGGAGGGTTTGGAATTGTTAGAAATGGCTTCAGAATTGTCTAAAATCTTACATTATTTTATTTTTTTTTTGTTTTTCAAAACAGGGTTTTTTTTTGGAAGATTTACTTTATTTATGTATACTTTGTTTGCATGTACATCTGCACCCAGAAGACAGCTTCAGAGAGTTGTGAGCCGCCATGTGAGTGCTGGGAAATGACCTCAGGACCTCTGGAAGAGCAGTGAGTGCTCTTAACCACTGAGCCATCTCTCCAGCCTCATAGATAGGGTTTCTTGGGGTTGGAGAGATGGCTCAGAGGTTAAGAGCACTGGTTGCTCTTCCAGAAGTCCTAAATTAAATTCCCAGCAACCACATGGTGTCTCACAACCATCTGTAATGAGATCTGGTGCCCTCTCTGGTGGGCAGGGTTACATGCAGACAGAACATTGTATACAACCAACAAATAATTTTAAATAAATAAATAAATAAAAAGACAGGGTTTCTCTGTAGCTTTGGAGCCTGTCCTGCAACTACATCTGTAGGCAAGGTTGGCTTCAAACTCACAGAGATCCACCTGCATCTGCCTCTGCCTCCCGAGTGCTGGGATTAAAGGCGTGTGCCACCTGCCTGTTTTTTTTTTTTTTGTTCTTTGTTTTTTTTTTTTTTTTTTAAGACAAAGTTTCTCTGTAGCTTTGGAGTCTGTCCTGGAACTAGCTCTTGTAGACCAGGCTGGCCTCAAACTCACAAGGATTCACCTGCTTCTGCCTCCCAAGTGCTGGGATTAAAGGTGTGCGCCACCATGGCCTGGCCACCGGCCCATTTTAATGCAGGTTTTTAATCTCAACACTTGGAAACGGGCAGTGGTGGCACACGCCTTTAATCCCAGCACTCGGGAGGCAGAGGCAGATGGATCTCTGTGAGTTTGAGCCCATCCTGGCCTACATGTCAAATCCCAGGTCAACCAGGACTAAATAGTAAGATCCTATCTCAAAAAACAAACAGGGGCTGGTGAGATGACTCAGAGGTGAAGAACCCTAACTGTTCTTCTAGAGGTCCTGAGTTCAATTTCCAGTGACCACATGGCGGCTCATAACCATCTGTGATGAGATCTGATGCCCCTTCTGGTGTACGGGCAAAATGCAGACAGAACACTATATTCACAATAAATAAATTTTAAAACAAACAAACATCCCCACAAGCTACCACTCCGAGCTTGCTATGTGGGTGCTAGGATCCACACCGTGGTCCTCACACTTTCACAGCAAACACTCTTAACCGCTGAGGCATCTCCCCAGCCTGAAAGCTGTTTCTTCAGGTGGATACAGGAGCTGAAGGATGAAGCTTAAGACAGTATATAGTAAGGTCAATGTTGTGCTCCCTGATATTAGGGAGGGGGAAAAAGTGGGCCTGGTGATAGGCTTGTCATCCTAGCTACTTGGGAGACTAAGGCCTGCCTGGGCAAACCAGTGAGATGCTGTGTAAAAGCAAAAGCAAAAATCCAACCAAGAAAAAGTCACCAATCTACTGTGGATGTGATGCGAGCAGCTCTGAACCCCTGCCGCTGGGACTGTCGCGCACTGTGATGACAGTAGCCTGGGAGCATAAACTAAATACACTACTTTCCCCTCACAGAATGAATAAATAGATAAATAACTGGAGGGACACACATTTACAAAGTAACTGCGCCACCCAATAGTTACTTAATTCTTGGCAACAATTTTTTACTTTTCTTCTTTTCTTCTTCCTTCCCCCCATCTTCCTCCCTTCCCCTCCCCCCTCCTTCTTTTTTGAAACAAGGTTTGTCTGTGTAGCTTTGGAGCCTGTCCTGGAACTTCCTCTGTAGACCAGGCTGGCCTGGAACTCAGAGATTCCCCTGCTTCTGTGTGTATTTTTTTCCCTTTGAGACACGGCCTCAGGAAGCCCTGACTGGCCTCAGAACTTATCTTAACCAATTCCAGCACTGAGAGGGAGAGGCAGGTGGATCTTTGTGAGTTCAAGGCCAGTCTGGTCCACGGTTAGTAGTAAATTTCAGGACAGGCAGAGCTACATAGTAGAAAACCCTAACTCAAAAACAAAAACAAGCAAACAAAAAAAAAATCAACCAACCAAACCTTACATTACCCATTTAATCCTCCTTAAATTACCTCCCCAGTTCTGGGATTACAGACTAGGATCTGAGGCATGAGGGATTAAACCCAGGATTTCATGCCCTTTACCACCCTAGTGCATTTATGTTCTTAGGTTGGGGCTCATTCATTCATTCATTCATCCCATGAGCAAAAGACAACACATGGTCGGTCGTGACTTAGAGTGTCTGAGCCATTCTCAGAGTCTATTCTACTTTGCTTGCTAGCTGTGATCCATTCTTCAATTTCCTGTACAAAGGGCAAATCAAGAAGCCAGGACACAGTTTTGTATGAAAATGAGATGGAATAATCAGCCCAGCATAAAGAGCAGATGCTCAGAAAACAGTATTTATATACTTGGTTTTTTTTTTAACTTTTTATAATTTATTTATCTTTGTTTTGTGTGCATTGGTGTGAAGCTGTCAGATTCCCCCGGAACTGGATTTTTCAGACAGTTGTGAGCTACCATGTGGGTGCTGGGAATTGAACCCGGGTCCTCTGGAAGAGCAGTCAGTGCTTTTAACCGCTGAGCCATTTCTCCAGCCCCTATATACTTGTTTTGAACAAATAATGAATCCATCTGGATCCTAGATATCCTCCCTCAAGAAACTTTTTTCCCACTGGGGCATCCCAAGACTTTCAGAACTAAGAACCTTTTTTTTTTTTTTTTGGTTTTGGTTTTGGTTTTTCGAAACAGGGTTTCTCTGTGTCGCCCTGGTTGTCCTGGAACTCACTCCGCCTGCCTCTGCCTCCCAAGTGCTGGGAGTAAATGCGTGCTACACCACCACCTGATGCGGAGAACCTTTTCTAAAATCCGTGATAATTCAAAATTGCCCTGAGACTTAATCTGCATTGGCTGCAGCCAATCTCGGCGGGCTCAGGACAGGAGCTGTAGTGTGCGTGGACTACACTTCCCAGAGCGCCCTGCGGCAGGCAGAGCGCGCAAGCGCGACCGTGGGCGCGAGCATATATAAGATGGCTGCGGGCCACATTTCGTCCTTTCTTCCTGCGGCAGCCGCGTTGTCTTTGTGATGTTGTCTTGTACTTCGTTTTTCTCACCGCCACAACTCGCTGTCCCCGGGACGCATTCTCCGGTTGCTGCGCCCAAGACTGCGGGATGCAGAACCTGCCGCGGAGAAACCGGCCTTCTCCGTCTCGACGGTGGAGGCCACGATGGCGGCTCGCGTAATGGAAGTTCGCGGCCTGCACACTGCACCCTTTGACGGGTGAGTGACTTAGGCCATCGGCATGTTGGTAACAGCATTTGCGGGACGAGGGGATAAGTGCTTGCGTGCGGTGACGTTATTGTGATGACGCCAAATAAAGAGACTCTGACGGTTGCTTCTGAGTCATCTTTGGAGACTTAACCTGTCTCCTGTTTACTGGAGTTACCCTAGTGGTTAACGGGTGTTGCGGCCGAAACTTTGGATCCCGGCACGTGCTAGTTGAACTATATCATCCATAGATCTCAAGCCTTTAAGAAATATTTTTCGGGAGGAGTTTAAAACCTCCACTTTGTCGCTGATTGCATAAGCGGCCATTTTAAACTTACCCTGATAACTGAAACATTACGTAAGAATAACTTGTGTGTGTGTGGGGGTAGGCTGGGGACAGGGAGTTAAAGAGTTCTATGTAGGCTGCGTTAAAATCAAGAACCTAATGTCTAGTAGTCAAAGCTGTAATTTAAGATTTTGTGAACCAGGTGGTTTGTGGGTGTGAGGTATTGTAACCCCCATCACTTCCCGTGGCCCTTATCGAAGCTGCAGCCGCTTCTACATAGCTGCTGTGGTCAAAAAGGAGGCCCAGAGAAAAAGTTTTCCTTGACGGTCGCGGTTCTGTTTACAGTAACTGATCTGCAACATTTTGGGAAAAGACAGCTCCACCTTGTGATTTCTCAGAAGTATCTAGAAATCTTCATGAGCATCAGCATAACTATGCTACAAGCTAACAAGAATGTTCTCTTCGATGTGTGGAGTTAGTAGAATGGGACTTTTGGAAGTAGTTTGCTGAACATAAGAACATACAAGGGGACTTAAATGTTCACCTGTCAAACATTCTGGTACATGGCCACGCCATGGGTCACATTCCCTGTAAGAGAAGGCCAGTTGGTGACCAGGTGCAGGACACTGTAGGATAAATGGATAATTGTGTTGCCTTTCATCATAGCTGTTCCGGATGGGGGTTCCGTGAAGACAGATGTGACAATGACGCTGTGCAGCACTAGGCCCTGGTAAGTATGGCAGTGTTAGCTGCGATCTGAGAAGTGCAGCATGTTTCCAAGGGCTGTGGCTTGTGGTAGCCATGGGGTCTCCAACTGCATGCCAGAGTAACTGGAGAGACTTTGACAGCCCTGGCCAGCACAGTGCCTGCAGCTGCCACTCGACTTTCCTATATAGGTTGTTCCTGGTGTTGCCACCCTGGACAGTGTTGTGTCCGTGGATATTCACAACAAAGCTTTCCCTTCTGCAGGTTCTTCTCAAGGCTCAAGTTGGGGAAGTCAACCTGTCTTCCAACCTGCCTCTGCTCAGTCACTAAGGTAAAGGTGCTGTCTGACAGCCTTACCCTCCGGTTCCCTTTCCCATCGGATCTTGACGCTGGTCTTGGTGGTCGTAAAGGAGGAAGAGCAGACCGAAACTGGCCTCATGGCAATATAGTCTGCTATAGAGCATTGGGTCAGATTCATACATGCCTTGGCTCTTGTAAAATGGGATAGCCTGAGAATTACATATGCCTCTGGGCAGTTGGTGCGTTGTGCTTGGGTGTCTCTAATGACTTATTTATTTTTTTAGAGCCATGTGACCAGTGACGGGGCGATCATTTATGATCTCAGTCTACAGTTTGTTGGGTAAGTTAGGGCTGTTATGCACTCTGTCCCTAAGTATTATAGCAGGAAACTGCTCAAGTGTGTAAAATTCAGCATTTTAGTAATGTCTGGCCTGTGTGCTGCATTAGCTACTCACATTTATGGACAAAGCTGCTTGTCTTGTGACTGCTATTTGCCCACTGAAGGCCATGAGTGCATTCTGCTAAGCAGCCATGCCCTTGTATCCACTACCCCTGCAATCAGATAGATTGTGAGGAAGTATGCAGGGAGCTCAAACACTGGTCTAGGATGAAACCTAATCTGAGTGGACATCTATGGATGAGAAATGCGGATATGGGACTGAGACCAGTTCTTAGGAAAAGGCTGAGGTCTGGGGAGTAAGCCTGAGGTCAGAACTAACACAGACTTACACTTCCTTTTCAGAAAAAAAGAGGACTTCCCTGGAAGCAAGCAGAAGCTTTTTTTTACTAAAACTTTCTGATTAGCCAGCAGTGATGGCCCACACTGAGACAATAAAGGCTACAAAGATCTGTCTTGAAAAAAGTGAAATGCTTTGGTATTTAACATGTAATTGGTTCAATAAAGACTTCTGAAAGTATCTTCTGTAATTTAAAATGATTAAACAAAATTCAGTGCCCACTGAACCCAGGACAGTAACTGAAATGAAATCTTCAACTTATTAGTTGGGAGGTGATTTCCTATGGACTGCTTTCTGGGACTGCAGAGCTTGATTTACATGTCTCCCAGCCAAACTGCTTATTTGGACAGTCAAGCTCACTAGGAGTCAGGGAAAACGCATAAAGGAAAAAGCCCTTCCTCTCTGAGTAATGTACCATGGTTGCTAGTGATAATTGTAGAGGTCCCAAGAAAAGGCACTGCCTGGGGCTTACCAACTTAATGCCAAGGTGCTATGCCATACTGTGAGCAGAGGAGATGCATGGGAACAGGCAGTGATGGCTCTGAGCCAATTAAAACAACCTGTGGGAGCCATTCTCAATTACTGTCAGTTGCTTAACAATTCATGGTTGTGGAGAGCTAGTTACAAGAGAGGCAGGGATACACAGTAACAGTCTGAAAAATAATACATGTTTACAAATATTCCAGAATCAGAAAATCCTCTAAAATGAGGCTTTGGACTGTTGGCTTTAGTCTTGATTCTGCCAATTCATGGTTGAGATTGCAGGTTTACACTACAATTACCTGTTTTACTGGGAAAACTGGTGGGCAATCAGAAGCATCGAGCCTGTGTCATAATCTGGGTGATCTCTAAATGCTTCTGAGTACGGAAGTGGATGTTTGGGTTCTTTTCAGTTGGAGTCTCATGCAGGGTAGGAGAGCTGCCTGGCATGGAAACAACTTGGTCCTCATAAGTGTCCTTGGCCACTAAGCCACTTTTCTAGGACTCCAGCTAAGGTTTTTGTAAATGTCACGTGATCTAAGTTCCTGTTAGAACAATTCCCTTCCATATCTTTCACGGCTTAATCATAACAAATAACAAGTGGAGAAGTGGCTCACAATCTCAGAAAACAGTAAATTATTAAAATCTTATAAACCATTTTTAAAAAGATAAAAGCTTCACAAGAAAAAAAAAAGCCCTGATGACAGTCCATCCTTATGTCCTGGCTACAACACGGCAGGGATCTCTGAAGACACAGTGTCTAGGGGCTGCCAGTGACAGTCCATTAGTGCATCATACAGTTCCTCACTTTGCTCCATGAACTCCTTGTTGGCCTCAGTCACATCCAGCTGTGGTGCTGGGTCTGCAGAAGGAAAGGACAAGGTCAAGCAGTCTGAAAGAACCACCGGGAAGGAGCACTCAGGCTCCTGCCTCCGGGCATCTTAGAGTGGGTATCGAAGATCGAAATCATTGTAATTTGGACCATGTGACAGCAGCCAGTTTCTCCTTCCAGTTTACAAAGCTACATCTGTCTTAGATTTTCTGTTCTGCTCAGATTTAAAATGTGGGTTTAGAAAACATTTAAGTTTGAATGAATCCAAAAACTAAACCAATGTCTGATGAAATGCCTGGTCACATGAATTGGGGACCTAGTTCTGTCTCTTTGAGAAATCACAAACTTACATTTTGAAGGTGTGGTGGCATCCCTATAGCCTCACTCTTGGGAAGTGGAGGCAGATGGATCATGAGTAACTTCGCCTACACTGAAATACTGAGAATGTCTTTAAAGACCGTAACAGATTCCGGGTGTTGAGACGGTCTGCGGTTCCAGGTGAATCTCAAACCCATTGTGCCCCAGCCAGGGGACTACAGAAGTGCTTTACCATGTTGAACATGAAAGATGCTCACAAAGAGAAGCCCACAGTAAAGTATCTCTCCAGGAGGCTCACTGTGTAGCGCTGTCTGGTCTAGAACCCAATGCTGAGACTAAAGCCCTGCACTACTACGCCAAGCCAAGTTAGTCTTTTCCCTCTTCTCTCTTCTTAAGTTTTCCAGGCACTATGTAGACTAGGCTAGCCTCAAACTCATAGAGATGCCCCTAAGGTTAAATTTAAAGGCTGCACCATCACACCTGCTATTTCTTTTGATCCAAAGGCTCACTACATGACCCAACCTAGCCATGAATGGAAAGGAATCGGTCTAGTCTCAATCTCCTGTCCTTTAAAAATTCAGCTTGTACTTCGGAAAACTATTGTGGCTGGGTGTGGTGGCATAGGCCTGTAATCCCAGCATCTGGAGGCAAAGCAGGAGGAACAGAAATTCAAGGTCATTCATAGCACACTGAAGGTCAGCCTGACCTTATAGCTCAAACCAAAACAGAAGGAAATTTCAACACAAAATTACAAACTGGTAAACAAAAAGTAGGTTCTAGAGAGATAGCTCAGTGTTAAGAGCACTGGCTGCTCTTACAAAGGACAGTTTACAACTGTAACTCTAGTTCTAGGGGATAGGGGACCCTCATACAGAGGGTAAATGCAGGCAAAACACCAATGCACATGAAATAAAACCAATAAAAAAACCAACAAATATAAAATAACTATCAATGTTACAGAGTCACTGGGTGGGGCAGAGTGCCTCACAGCTTGGAAGTAATAGGCTCCCTGCGAGCAGCACTCATTTCATTATAACAGGCAGAACCTGGCAATCATGGGTGTGTCCACACCTATTAGAAAGCACACACATTCTCGCCAGGCTGTGTTGGTGCACGCCCTTAGTCCCAGCACTCAGGAGGCAGAGACAGGTGAATCTCTTGAGTTCGAATCCAGTCTGGTCTACAGAGTGAGTTCCAGGACAGGCTCCAACTCCAAAGTTACACCTAGTTGAGGGCCCACAGCTGGCACTTGAAACAACTACCAGGAGCTTGAAGAGACTCTTACCTTCCAGGGCATCATCCCCAACCTCTTCATATGTCTGTCAAGAGAGGAGAGGACTGATGAGGAGCCTGAGAAAATTCTGACTGATTTTTGACAAACAGAGCTAGGTCTCTCTAGCCTTCCCCACTTTTTCAAAACCCCAACCCGCTACCAACTTCACTTTAGAAAATGATGGTCCCTGGAGGGCAAATGAGACCCAAGAGTTGCCGAATGCGGTTACCTGCATGGTGCTCTGTGTGTAGCCATACTGAGGGTAGCTGTAGCTGTAGCTGCCTGTGTTCTGGTCGTAGCCCCACTGGGCATAGTAGTTCTGGTACTGCTGGTAATACTGGTTGTAGCTGTAACTGTACATCTGGCTGTACTCAACTGGCTTTACACGGCTCCTTATGGGGAACAAAATCAGATGTAGAGGATTTCTCTTGACCAAGGACTGCACTAAGTGCTCCAGCTGCCCTCCACACTCTGTATCCCCATCCCTGCTGTAGGATGAAGGCTAGGATAGAGCATTTAAGTAAGTGTCTGGTCCAGGGTCACAAGACTAAGGCACAAACATAAACCCAGACAGTTTGCCTGCAGAACCCACGCTCTTAGGATACAAGCCTTTCTTGGCTCAGGTTGTCTGCCTTCAAGACCCCCCCCCAACTTTTTTTTAAAGATTTGTTTATGTATATGGGTGTTTTGTTTGCATGCATGTGTGCATACCAGAAGAGGCATTAGATCTCATTATAGATGGTTGTGAGCCTCCAGGAGGGTGCTCAGAATTGAACTCAGGACCTCTGAAGAGCAGCTCAATGCTCTTAACCTCTGAGCCATCTCTCCAGCCCCTTTCTCAGGATCTTGGGAGGCTCTGTTCTCTGACAGTTGCAAAAGCTCAGGAAAACATAACAAGATATCGGGTTTTATGGGGCTGGAGAGATTGCTCAGCAGTTAGAGCACTGTTCTTCCAGAGGATTCTGGTTCAATTTTCAGCATTCACATGGCAGCTCACAACTGTCTGTAACTCCAATTCCAGGTGCTATGACATCCTCACACACACATACATACATACATGCAGGTAGGCAAAACACCAATGCATGTAAAATAAAAAAATAAAATATCTGGTGGTTGTAGAGATGGCTCAGAGGTTAAGAGCACTGTCTGCTCTTCCAGAGGTTCTGAGATCAATTCCCAGCAATCACATGGTAGCTCATAACCATCTATAATGAGATCTGGTGTCCTCTTCTGGCATGAAGTTATACATGCAGGCAGAACATTGTATACAGAAATAAATCAATCTTGAAAAAAAATTTTAAGCTGGGCAGTGGTGGTGCATGCCTTTAATCCCAGCACTTGGGAGGCAGAGGCAGGTGGATCCCTTTGAGTTCAATGCCCGCCTGGTCTACAAAAGCTAGTTCCAAGACAGGCACCAAAGCTAAACAGAGAAACCCTGTCTGGAGTAAACAAAACAAAACACGAAAAGCAAAGACAAGTCACTAGGCCAGGCCTAGATTCAACTTTCACATTCTGAAGAATCCACCAGGGCTGGAGGGAAGCTTCCTTTTAACCATACTGTAACCACCACCACTCCAACCAAAGATAGACTGCCAAATCCACAAAGGCTTCACTGCTTTCCAAGACACAAAAACCATGTGTGGAGAAGCTCAAGCACATGACAAGGGGTTTCCACTCGTGAATTTGAGCTAAGAATGTCCTATGACACCAAAAACATGCAAGAGCCCGAGGCTGACTCCACCATGCAGTTGGCGGACTCAAGAGAAGAGTGACCTCTGTCCTCATGACTGGTATATTCCATTGCTATGCTTATCAACCCAGACAAGAAACCAAGCTGTTAGCAGGAGCTGAGAATACCAGGCACTGCAAAGGCTGCAACACTTGACTGAGCGCTTTCAAGCTCTTGCTTAGTGAAAGGGACTCAATTAGTGCTAAGCAAATCCAACTGCTAAATACTGAAGCACCCGGCTCTAGCCCAGGATGCTTCGCTGAAGGCTATAGGCAGATGGTCCTACTTGCCAAATGCTGGGCTGAGCATACCCCCAATATTCACCTCTTTGATCCCTCCTTAATGAATCTATGGATATCCATTACTCTGTTGACAGTAACTGAGGTTCATCTTCCTGGACTGGGTTGGTTGTGTTTCCTTCAGACATCTATGCATTACAGTGATGGTCTCCTTATCCCAAGGGTCTGAGAGCACCTCCTCAGGGGTGGGCACTGATTACTAACAACTGTGTTCAGTGTGGAATAGACAGAACAAATCAGAAGTTTGCAGATGGGCCTTGGTTTCTGCTTACAGCTATATTGCCACAGTCTAATTATCATCAAACAAACAGGAATACACCAGAAACAGTCAAAATGATCAACAACAGAGGAATTGTTGAACAGAACTTATATATAAAAGAATATGCTGTAGTATACTCTAAAATAAAACCAGACAGGACCATACATCAGTCGTAGAGACTGTGCTTAGCATTTGTGAAGTCTCAACGCCCCACTCCCACCAAAAGGTAACCAAAACCACACACATACAACTGTGCAGCTACATGGAAAAGCAAGTATATGGAATAAACTGAGGGGGAAAATAAATATTACTTATGAAATTCAAAACAGAGTGCAAGACTCTGGATTTAAATCCCATAATTAGAAAAAAAATAAATCCTACCACATGTAAATTGACTCAATTTATAGTATATGAACAAGGGACTTGAGATATGAAAATTGCTTTTGACAATTTTAGTTTGCTTGTTTTCACTACATGGTTTTGCAAAGCTGACCTGGAATTCTGATCCTGTCTCAATTGCCTGAGTCCTGCAATTGCAGGTGTGTGGCACTACTCACGGTACTACAGCCAATTCAGAATAATGAAATTATGATTTTTAAAGGTTTTTATTTATGTGTATGTTTCTGTATGGGGATATCAGACCCCAAGAGCTAAAGTCATAGGTGGCTGTGAGCTGCCTAAAGTGGGTGTTGGAAGCTGAACTCAGGTCCTCTGGAGGAGCAGAAAGGGCTATCAGTCAGTAAGCCATCTCTCCAGACCTGTTACTTCCTTTAAAAACAATCTTTCTGCTGGGCAGTGGTGGTGCACACCTTTATTCCTAGCACTCAGGAGGCAGAGGCAGGAAGATCTCTGTGAGTTTGAGGTCAGTCTGGTCTACAAGAGCGAATTCCAGGGCAGCCAGGATTACACAGAGAAACCCTAACTCAAAAACAAACAAACATAAAAACCCAAAACAATCTTTCTTTGCTTTAATCCCATCAATCACTTGGGAGGCAGAGGCAAGCAGATCTCTGTGTTTGAGGCCAGCTTGTTCTGCTCAACAAGTTCTAAACCAGCCAGGGCTACATAGTGAAATCCTGTCAAACATTCAAGTCTCTGTTGTTTCCAAATGACCATTGGGAAGGTGTCTCCTGAAGTCTGGCTGCCCTTGTACTTTGTGGTCAAGATATCTCGGACCCTGTTACTTCTGTTTGTTTGGTTTTTCGAGACAGGGTTCCTCTGTAGCTTTGGAACCTGTCTTGGTACTCCCTCTGTAGACCAGGCTGGCCCCAAACTCATGGAGATTCGCCTGCCTCTGCCTCCTGAGTGCTAGGATAAAAGGCGTGCACCACCACCGCCTGGCTGGCCCTGTTACTTCTGCCAGTTGGTAGAATTCCTAATTCCTAGCTGGAGGGCTGCCTTGTACACTGCAGCATCTGGAGCAGCACCCCTCGTTATAACCTACTGGATGCCACTAGTACGTTGTAATACCACAAAATATATCCAGATGCCACCAATGCCTCCTAGTGAGTGAAATCTCTACCTGCTGAGAAATACTGCATTGGCTGAAGGATAAGAAATGTCACTTGGACCAGGAGTGATGGCATACACCTTTAATGCTAGCACTTGAAGGCAGAGGCAGATGGGTCTCTGTGAGACAAAACAACAAAGAACAAAGAACAAAACAACAAAGCTAGGTATAACCATAGAGACCCTGTCTATCAAAACAAAACAAGATAAAACAAACCATGCTTAAAAACAAAAAACAAAAAAACAAAGCCTAGCTAGCATGACAGCTTAGCCCTGAGATACACAGTATTTCAGACACTGGTTAGAATTATTATCATTATTTTTTTTAATTCTAGCAAACTCTATAGATAATTTCCCAACAGCAGCAGCTGGCCAAAGAGCAAAGATATGGAACAAAACAGCTTTCCCTGCTGCTGCCCTCAATGTCTGGCCCCTCGGCTATTAGCTTCCAGGGGTGTGTGGCTATGCTAGTTCATCCCCCACACCAAGCCTGGCCAAAGCACACAGTATCTGTGACATCTGCCTCTCTGCAGACTTGTGTTCCACATATGGATGTCCTGACTCAGCAAACAGCCAAAGAGGGCCCAGGGTAGGCTAGCTAGTCCAGGACTATGCTCTCTGCGGAACTCACGCTTTAGGGATGGCCACACTCAGCCGCACAGGTTTAGACCCCAGTCCCACTGCTCCCTGGCACTCCGTCAAGGCTCGCTTCTGTTCCAATTCATCTGTGAATTTCACAAAACCATAGCCCCTGGAGGGAGAAAAAAACCAACATGCAACTTAGATCACAATAGTGATGAAGTCTACAGGAGGAAACATGGAAAAGGGGGTGGAAAAAGAGGTGGGCTGGAGCACAGAGGGAAAAGGCCAGAAAGGGAGAGTGAGCCAAACACAGAGGGCAGGACGGTCACACAGTGTGATCCTGACACTTGTGGGCACTCCTCCTTTCAGTTCAGCCCCCATTCTCCTCACCCCTTCATCCAGGGGCTGCTTCCCAAACAGGAGCTTCCCTCCCAAACGAGGGGAAGGCAACATTATTAGCACTGTGTAGTTGTGGGGACAGGTGAAGTTTGTCCTGCAGACCTTTCAGACTCCTGCAGGGATGTATCAGGCATGCCGGGAAGCAGTTACAGACAGACCTGGTTTCTGTTCCTTGAGGTCAAACAACTTACAGACTGCTCATGATACCTACAATTAATAGTGCGTCCTATCTGCTGGACAAGGTGCTGAGGACACTTTCAAGGTTACCCCATCACATGGAGTACTACACAGCACTAACGAGCAGCCAAAGTTCAGAGAGGATTGATAACTAGCCCAGAGTCACGCACAACAGAAGCAGACTTAACTCTATGTCACACTCCCAAAGCCTGAGTAAAATGACTTAACTGATGAATAAGCTGCAGCTGGTGATTCTGGTACTAGGGAAGCTGAGCGCGGAGAATTGTGAGTTTGAAGCCAGCTACGACCATATGGGGAAAAAAGGGGGGGGAGAGTCAGGACTGAGGAAATGGCTGTTTTAGGGCATTAGCTTAGTACACTAAGTACCTGGGTGTAAAATCTAGTACAAATACAAAAAGAACAAGCCTTTCTTGGAATGGTGGAATATGGCTGGGTTCAATCCCATGCACAGCAAAGAATTAAAAAAAAAAAAAAAAGTACCTTCTTTTCTTTTGAGTGGGGAAATCAAGCTCGGAGCCTTGTGCATGCTAAGCAAACTCTCCAATACTGAGCTACATCCTAGCATTTGGTTGTATCTATTTCAGGAACATTGATGATTTTGCCTGCGCCTGTATGAAGGTGTCAGATCCCCTAGAACTGGAGTCACAGATACTTGTGAGCTGTCATGGGGGACTGAGAATTGAACCTGGGTCCTCTGGAAAAATGACCAGTGCTGTTAACTACTGAGCCATATCCCTAGCCCTCTTGTTTGTTTGTCTGTTTTTGTTTTTTGTTTTTTTTTTTTTAAAGGCAGGGTTACTCTGTGTAGCCCTGCATCTCTCTTGGAACTTACACCATGTCTTTTATTTATTTATTTGTTTGTTTGTTTGTTTGCTTGTTTATTTGAGGCAGGGTTTTGCTAAATTGCCTACACTGGTCGTAAATTCACTGCACAGCACACAAAGACCCTGAATTTGCAATCTTGCTGCCTCAGCTGGGCAGTTGGGATTATAGACCTGTGCCAACAAGCCTAGCTTCATCTTTCTTGTTTTGTTCGAGGTAGGGTCTTGCTGTGTAGCTCAGGCTGGCTTGAGTTCAAAATCCTTAGCTTTCGCCTTTCAAGTGTTGACAGGTCTCTCCATTTTAAAATGGAAAACTTAACCCTCCTTTTTCTTTACTTTTGTGGGGGTGGGTGGGTGAGCATTAAGAAAAAGTCTCAGCCAGGCAGTGGTGGTGCACGCCATTAATCTCAGCACTCGGGAGGCAGACACAGGTGGATCTCTGAGTTAGAGGCCAACCTGGTCTACAGAAAGAGTTCAAGGACAGTCAGGGCTACACAGAGAAACCCTGTCTTGAAAAACAAAAACAAAGAGAGACCCTTATGTAGCCCAGGCTAGCCTTGAACTCACTATATATTCATAAAAGATGAATGGCCTTGATTTTCTGATCCTCCTACATCCACTGCCCAGTTCTGGGAATATAGGTGTGCAGTGCCACTCCAGGCTAAAGAATAGTATTTTTAACTACACAGAAAGCCTTATTCACAGAAATAAATACCAGTTATTCATAGTTCCTTCTAATCCTTATGCCAATTATATAATATTGCTTCAATTTATAGATTAGGAAACAGCAAGTATCTGTAACTTGTCTAGTGCACATCCCTTGTCACTGATGAAGCTGAGCTCGAACTAGGCTGTCTGGCTCGAAAGCTTGCACTCTGGGCCACCACCCTCCTTGGTGTCTCTGATCCGTCCCCCCAGGAGGTAAGAATGCTGAACAAAGTAAACATAAGTAGCAGGTAAGGCCTTACTTAGACACGCCTGTCTGGTCCAAAACCACCTTGCCTCCCCGACAGGAGGGGTAGACTTTGACAAAGAACTCATACAGCATGCCATCATCCACGTCTGGGGTCAGGTCCCCGACAAAGAGGGAGTACTCAGGGCTGAGAGGAGAGAAGAGTCAGCAAGAAAAATATCAAAAACCTGCTGTCAGTTTCTGGAACTATAGTTCATTATACTTCTTCAAAAGATTACGGAAATAGCTCCCTGCTCTGAGGTCAGCAGATACTACACAAAACCTATCTGACTTTAAGCATCAAGAGAGTACAGGGCTGGGTGTGGTGGGGCATGGATGCACTCAGGAGGCAGAAGCAGAGGCAGATGATCTCTGAGTTCAAGGACAGCCTATTCTGCAGAGCAAGTTCCAGGACAGCCAAGGCTACACAGAGAAACCTTATCTTGGGGAGGGTAAGGATGCAGATGAAGCACTCCTTTAATTGCAGCAGTTAGAAGGCAGAGGTAGGTCTCTCTACGAGTTCCAGGCTAGACTAGTCTACCTAGTAAGTTTCAGGCCAGCCAAGGATACACACTGAAATCTTGCCTCAAAAAATATAGAGAGAGGGAGAAAACAGGCGAGACTGAACAGGTGAGGGGCTAGATAAGAGGTATCTCCAAGGAGGTTTTTGTTTTGTTTTTTGAGACAGGGTTTCTCTGTGTAACAATCCTAGCTGTCCTGGAACTCACTGTTTAGACCAGGTTGGCCTCAAACTCAGAGAGATCCACCTGCTTATGCCTTTTGAGTGTTAGGATTAAAGGCACACGCCACAATGTCTGGCCAGGAGTTTTTATGTTTGGTTTTGTTTTAAGAAACTAGACAGGAAGCTGGAGAGATGGCTAAGAGGGTTAAGAGCAATGACTACTCTTCCAGAGGTCCTGAGTTCAATTCCCAGAAACCACATGGTGGCTCACAACCATCTACAATTAGCTCTGGTTTCCTCTTCTGGCGTGCAGGCATGCACAGAGGTAGAACACTGTATATATAATAAATAAATAAAATAAGACCCTTATCTCCTAAAGACCTAAAATCTAGTTAAGAAATTCTCAAACTCTTTTGGAACAAGTCATCAAACCTTTTGTAGAAATGTTTACAAATGTATTTAGAGATTCAGATTCAGTTTTTGTTTTTTTGTGCCACCATGCTAGGTCTTATTTAAGCATTTCAAGCAAGATACATATTGTTGGTATAGTTTGCCAGGCCCAGGGAGAAACAGGAAGATTCACAAGTTCAAGGTTAGTTTCAGTTATATAGCAAGTTCAAAGTTGGTCTGGGCTATATGAGACCGCGTCTCAATACCTATATACATGATGGAAACAAACTCTGGTCCTCTGCAAGAATAATACTCTCTCTTCAATGCTAACCATGTCTAAAGCCCATTGTTTGGTTTTTAAAAAAGTCTCATGTAGCTCAAGCTAGCCTCAAACTCCACATTTTACTTAAAATGACCTTGAAATTCTGTGCTGTGGGATAATGCTCTTGTATACGCTAAAGATTTCCTGACTCAGCGCTAACAGTAAAACCCTTGCAGCTCTTTCAGGAGCCTCTGCCATTAAACACTTGAGTGCTGTTTATGATCAACTGGCATCAGGCTTCCTGGTGACGGCATGGACCTAGAAACTACAGAGATGTGGCAATAAATGTGGTTGCTGCCAATACCTCTGCCATGAAGCTAGACTCTCAGAAAGCCAAGGACTGGGAGGGAGCCAGCCGCCAAAGTTGCAGCTTTAATCCTAGGCATGCTGTTTAGCAGACTATAAAGACTCATGTGCTCAGAACAAGATAGAGATATATGGTAAGGACAGATTCAGATGAAAAAAAAAAAAACCTCAAAACACTTTACAATGTATTTAAAAATATACATAGGCTTGGGAGAGAAAAGAAAAAGGACAGAGAAAGTCCTTAAAAAAAGAAAGAGTATTTGGGTATAGTGGCACATGCCTTTAATCCCAGCACTTGGAAGGCAGAAGCAGGCAGATCTCTGTGAGCTTGAGGCCAGTCTAGTCTACAGAGTGAGTTCCAGGACAGCCAAAGATACACAGAGAAACCTTGTCTCAAAAAACCAAAAATTAGGGCTGGAGAGATGGTTCAGAGGTTAAGAGCACTGACTGCTCTTTGAGAGGTCCTCAGTTCAAAACCCAGCAATCACATGGTGGCTCACAGCCATCTGTAATGAGATCTGGTGCCCTCTTCTGGCCAGCAAGCATACAGACAGACAGAACACCGTATACATAATAAATTAAAAAAAAACCCAAAAATTAAAAAATAAAAATAAAAGAAATAAAGTTAAAAAAAGGTATGTAAAGATGGAAAATATACAAAGTCTGGATACTATATGTTAATGTGTTGTCTTTGAATTGTTTGACTGCTGAGGAAGGAGCAACAGCTGCTAAAAGACATGTGATTATAAATGCTGCTGGATTAATCCAATCTATATATTTTGAAAATGCCTTAACTTCAAAATTTACGTCAAAAGATATATTACTTTGGAGAAGAGGTTTTGCTTTTGTTTCCACAGGAAATGAGAGACTGTGGATTCATTCTGGGTGAAGAAAAATAAGGTTTGATCAAGCAAGACCCTCTGAAAATTCTCAAATGGGAATGAATGGCTGAGATGATCCAACATTTTAGAGCACCTCTACTGCAGTTTCCTCTGAGTTCTATATTCAGAACAGCTTCAAGACCACTGGCTGAGATGATCCAGTCTCACAGAATATTCTTTCCAGTCAGGACTTGACTATAATCCTAAATTTTCTTTGGTTCCCCAAAAGATTATCAGTGCCCCCAATCAGCAGGAAGTAGCCTAGAAAACTATGCCCACATTCACAATAAATAAATAAATAAATGGATTATGGATATTTATCTTTGCTTAGTGTGTAGGTTATAAGCTGTTATGGAAAATGGTCAGGAAAAAAGCTAAACAACGGAGATTAGATTCAGAGTTCTTGTCTTTAAAAGAGGAAAAAAGGGACTGGAGAGATGGTTCAGAGGTTAAGAGCACTGGCTGCTTTTCCAGAGGTCCTGAGTTCAATTCCCAGCAACTACATGGTGGCTCACAGCCATCTACAATGAGATCTGGTGCCTTCTTCTGGTTTGTAGGCATACATGGAGACAGAATGTTGTACACATAATAAATAAATAAATCTTTTTTAAAAAGGGGGGAAATGCTGTGGGATAATGTTCTTGTACACTGTAAAGATTTCTCACTCATATTAGTTTAATAAAATGCTGTTTGGCTAGGAAGTATAGGCAGGGCAAACAGACTAAGAGATTTCTAGGAAGAGCAAAGGCAGTCAATCAGTCGCCAGCAAGACACAGAAGAAGCAAGATGAGAATGCCTCACTGAGAAAAGGTACCAAGCCATATGGCCAAACATAGATACAAATTATGGGTTAATTTATGTGTAGGAGTTAGTTAATAATAAGCTTGAGCAATAGGCCAAACAGTTTATAAATATAAGCCCCTGTGTGTTTCTTTGGGACTGAATGGCTGCAGGACCAGGTGAGACAAAAACTTCCTTCTACACTTCTGAATTACCTGCTTCTACCTCCCATGTGCCAGGATCACAGACAAGTCGCTATGACATTTTATTTGGTGCTGAGGATTAAGCCCAAGGCTCCCTGCACAGACACTGTGTCTAATGAGCTATGTCCCTGTCATTTCACCTACAAAACTTCAGTGTGACCCACTATGTTTTACTTCTGCAATCTTAGGTTCTCATATATTGCCAAACTGGGTGCAGTGATGCTCACCAGTAAATCTCAGCTATTCAAGAGGCTATAGCAGGAGTCTGAGGTAAGTCTAAGCAACACAGCCATATTGCCAACACCATGACATCAGGACTCTGCAACATGTCTTGTGAGGATTCTAACAAATGAACATAGTATAGCCAAGCCATTTCTGTATTATGAGGCACACTTTGATGAGCATTTAGGAGATTGCACCTCGCACATATCCATGAATAAATTCTGGAGAATGGAAGTACAGGGTCACGAGATAACAAGCTTGGAAAGCTTCTAAGACACTGTCCTAAAACTTTCAAAAACCACTGAGGACTAAGCAGAGCAACTCAAGTTTTTTGTTGGAGTAGGCATCTCATTGTGTAGCCCTGGCTATTTGAGAACTCAGTATGCAGACCAGGATGACTTCCAACTTGCCACGTTCCTCCTATTTCTACCTCCTGAGTGCTGAGAGCTGGGATGACAGGGTGCTACCAGACCCGACCACAGCGCTGTCTTTATAGTCTGAGATGGAGCTGAAGAACCATTGCAAATTAGAAACTCTGTGAAACAGGCAGGATTGCTTCCAATGTGGAAATGCAAAACTGGAGTTTGTCTATTCTAGCCCGGACTGTTAAATCCTTAACATAGCAGCCAAATATTTCTAGACAGTCAATGAAAATGATAATCAATTCACATTTTTCTTCCTTCCTTCCTTTCCTTGAGATAGCGTTTCTCTGTAGCTTGGCACCTATACTAGAACTAGCTCTTGTAGACCAGTGTGGCCTCAAATCAGAGATTCATCTGCCTGTGCCTCCTGAGTGCTGGGATTAAAGGCATTCACCACCACCTCCTGGATTCACATTGTTATAGTAAGAAGATCCTTACTGAATAAAACTTCAAAACCTGGAAAATTAACATGGTAGAAGGTTGGGGGAGGGGAGAACGAACAGGGCCTCATCAGGCATGGTGGCACACACCTATATATTTTTTTAAAGATTTATTTATTATGTACAGTGTTCTGCTGGCATGTCTGTCTGCATGTCAGAAAAGGGCACCAAACCTAATTATAGGTGGTTGTGAGGCACCATGTGGTTGCTGAGAATTGAACTCAGGTCCTCTGGAAGAGCAATCAATGCTCTTAACCTCGAGCCATCTCTCCAGCCCCACACCTGTAATCTTACATTGCCTCGCTAGGCATGGTAGCACACACCTATAATCTTAGGCACCATGAGGCATAGTGAGTTGAGGCCAACCTTGGCAATCTAGTGAATTCTAGGTAAGTGTGGGCTACAGAATGAGAACTTGTTTCAATAAAACAACAAATAAATAGTCAGAGCTCAAGATAAGAGTTCTTGCCTTCTGTTGTATGTTTGAATAAGGGGGCCGGAATAACAATGGTCCCGATAGGCTCATATATTTGAATGCTTAGAAAGGATTAAAAGGATTAGAAGGTGTGGCCTTGTCGGAGGAGGTATGCCACTGGGGGTGGGCTTTAAGGTTTCAAAAGCCCACGCCATACCCAGTCTCTCTCATTTACTTCTCTAGCACTATGCCTGCAATGCCCTCTGCCATGCTCCCCACCATGACGAGAATAGACAAATAAGCACCCAGTTAAATGTTTTCTCTTCACGGCACAACAGTGACTAAAGACACCTTCCATGCCCAAAGTTCTGGGCTCCATCACCAGCATGGTGTGTCTCGAACATTCAAACACGTAGGGGCGGAGCACGCACTTATTCATCACAGCACTTGGGGGCTAGAGGAGAAGAATTTTAAGGTCATCCTCGACTACACAGGGAGCTTGAGACCAGTCTGAGATATATGTCTACCCACAAAAAAAGAGACATTCAAAGAAGGAAAGACATAGCCCTGACACGATGGGGGCCAGGGAGTAGGCGATTCAATGCTCTACCCTCCTTTTGGCAGTAACTGGCACCACGACATCAAACACACACTGGAGCCTGAGCTACACTCACGCAGCTCCTTACTTACCTATTGTCTGGCTGTTTCCCGTAAGTGGCATAATTCAGTTTAAAACGTTTTGCCTAGAAATTTAAAAACACATGAACAAACTAAAACAGAGAAGGGTCTTCAAAAGTCAAACAATATTTGAAAAAAACTGAAATAAATTACCTTGGCCAAAACATCTCCCCCTCTCTAAGCCTCAGTTTTTCTCCTGTATAAAATGAAGGGGTTGCACGGTTGACCGTTAAAGGCACTGCCAGCTCCATGGTTCTATGAGCCCAGGTGTGCCAGCTGGTACAGCTGTAAGCTAAGTAACTGTGGGAAGAGCAGAATGTAACTCTCTTGAGATGTGTTCTTGCTGCTACCAGCCTGTTCTAGATTTTCAATCAGGCAAAAGACCTAGAGTTTCAAGTCTTTATTTTTAGCTGGGGATTGAGCCCAGGGTTTTGAGCATGCTAGGTGAGTACTCTACCACTGAGCTACAACCCCCAGCCCAATTTTCAAGTCTTCTGTCATAGCAGGCAGTACTGCAGAGTGGAAAGGGCCAGGGTTTTGTAGACAATCAATCTTCTGCCTGAATCTTGGCTCCGTTACTAACTACCTGTATTGCCTTCAGCAAATCATTGTATCTCCCTGCTTCAGTTTCCTGGTTGAGAACGATAACACTACCTATTGTATAAAATGACATAACTATCCAGTACCAATTCAATATGTGTTGGTAATTAAGGACAATAATAATGGCAGGGTCATCATCATCCAAATGTTCTTACAGGTGTGGCTCCTGGCAGGGGCTTCCCATTAATTTTATGCAAACACTTCTCAGCTGTGGTCAAATCTGCAAATTCCACAAAGCAGTAGCCAGCTGGGATTCTGGAAAGAAAGCAGAGAAACAGAATGATAAAGATGTCCAGGTACATCTTGGCCTGAAGAGAGGAAAATGTTTTTTTTTTCTCTTTTCCTTTTTGTTAAGACAAGCTCTCACTATGTAGCTTTGGCTGTCCTGGAACTCACTCTGTAGACCAGGCTGGTCTCAAAGTCATATAGATCGGTCTGCCACTGCCTCTCACGTGCTGGGGTTACAGGCATGTGCTACACCACAAACAGAGCCTCGATTATTATTACACCCCATATTCCAGATGAGAAACAACTTGCAAATTTAATTCAAGGACAGTGAATGTGGACAGTCCGTGAACTATTTACTAACCATCCACAGGGGTCATAGGTCAGATATCTTGTATATCAGATTCATATATGATTCATAACAGTAGAAAAATTACAATTATGAAGTAGCAAAATAATTTTATGGTTGGGGTCACCACAATACGAAGAACTGTATTAAATGGTTGGAGCATTAGGAAGGCTGAGAACCACTGGTCTAGATGATAGTTTTATCTGTACACTGTGTTAGTATCGTAGTCTAGAGACACTGTCAGTATACAGAAGGACAAACATAGGGGTTTGGGTCTCTGTGGGAGTCTTAGAATACTCCGGGAGGACAGCATCCTTAAAACCAGTTGAGGTAACCTGAAATTATTTCCCTCCTGTCCAATGACAGAGAGCCTGAGGTGGCACAGATGGGCATTCTTTAATATTTGTATTAATTATCTGAGAATTATATGTGGTTTTTTGAGAAAGGGTATCTCTATACAGCTCGGGATATTCTGGTCTTCCAAGTGCTGGGATTACAGGCCTGTGTCCTACCCCAGTTTAGTTATTTGAAAAGTCTATACAATGTATCATAGGTCCAGGATCTCCAACTCAGATTAACAAGTTTATGAGGTGCTGAGCCACCTCACTGTCCTCCCCCAGCCTTGTACTTCTGAACTCTCCTGATTTCTTGAAACAGAAAAACAAACAAACAAACAAACAAGGGAGGGGTATGTGGGCAGGAGAGATGGCACATGCTCAAAATTAAATAAAGGGGAGCTGAGTTCTGCACTGCTGAGTTAGAGGCCAGCCTGGTTTATACAGCGAGTTCCAGGTTAGTCAGGGCTACACAGAGAAACCCTATCTCGAAAAAGTTTCAAAATAAAACAAAGATATACAAAGCAAACAAGTGACTTACAGTTTTCAAACACAGGTTCCAGCATCCTGCCCTGAAACACTGGGATACTGAAACCTGAAAGCTGTTTCTGCTCAGTAAGCATCCACCCCAACCCCATGTTCCTTTTGCAGTACTGTGTGATGAGGACCACGACCAGGCGAGAAGCCCGGGTTCCAGCGATGTTTGTCCTCTAGAAGGGCAGGCTCTACTGAGGACTGGAGAGGTGAAAGGGAGATGTACCCTGTGAGGCGGTTTCGGATAATTTTGACGCTCATCACGGTCTCCCCCATGGTGGCAAAGGCTCTAGAGATGAAGTTCTCATCCATGTAGGGTTCCAGCTGCATGAAAACCGCAACAGTGAGGCTCAGTTCCAGGAGCTCCCTAAGGGGTCCAGCCCCTCCCTCTTAGTCCGGGACACTCTCCACAGAAGGGTGCTGTGGTTCTAAGCCACTTCTTTACTTCAAATGCGGGCCCTGTGGCTCACACGTTTAGTCCTAGCACTCGGGAGCTGGGGCAGGCGTATCTCTCTGTGAGTTCGATGCCAGGCTGGTCTACATAGTGAGTTCCAGGACAGTCAGAACTATGTGAGCCCCCATCTCAAAACAAAAATAACAAAAATCGCTCCCCTTTTTGGAACTCTCCGTGCCTTCGGCCCTAGGAACAAAAGACCCCTCAATTCTTGGGGGGTCCTCCCATTCCACCCCCAATATCCCCTTTTCTTTGTCATATTGGAAAAGGGGACCCCAAAACCTGTAACCCGAAGATTCTGACCTGATGACTCTTCTTTCTGATGCCCAGCCTCCCTGTCCTATCACGGTAGGAGTGAGAAAGGGCCTCGCTGCGAACCCCCAACTAGCCTAGAACTCGCTACGGGGCCTCGAATTTGTGGCCGGCCTCCTGCCTCTGTCGCAAGTGCAGGGATGAAGGCACGCGTCTCAATCGGCACTACAGGCCTGGCTTTTCCTTGTCCCCAGAACCCGTCCTGTTCACCTACACCGTCCAGGGATCGGAAGGGCCCTAGCCCTCAGCCCCGCCCTCCTCTAGGACTCGAGACCCTCTAGTCCTCTCGGAGCAGGCGTGGCTCTCACTCACGTCTCCCATCCACAGGCTGGCCGCCATCCCGCACTCGGGCGGGGACCGTGCGGGCCTGCGCCCGCGCCCGCCTGCGCTGCGGAG